ATCAGAAGAGAACACAGGAGGTATCACCAAAAGCAATGCGTTGGCATCCAATCATAATTAGATAGTGCCTTTACCTCAGGCATTTATCTGGTAGTGCTTACAATCTGCCAGAGTCTGGGATACGTCAGCCATCTCAAAGAACACTACGGGACTACACTTACTACACAACCGCTGCATTTAGTTTTACTGCTAAATTGTAGCCATAAATTTAACTAATTTAAATACATTTATAAACTTTGTAGATGATGTTGATGAGCAACTGAGAGCTATGGTTGAAATTGATGTATGCAGTGTCAAAGAGAAATGTGTTATTTTATTAATGGATGAGATGAACATTCAAGCTGATTTTGTTCATGACAAGCATAGTGGTACTAAATTATATAATTGTTATGCTGGCTGTGATATGTATGTAATTTTAATTGGTTGTTTGATTGGCTTCACAAATCTAGGAGAGATTAATAATCATATTCTTGATTTCAACGAGAAGTAGTGCATTCTCAAGCACAGATACCTCTTGCCAAATCTATGCTTGTTTTAATGGTTCAAGGATTATGCCGTAACTTCAGTTTCCCATATGTACAGTTTCCCTGCAGTGAGGTTAATGGTGATCAATTATTTGATATCTTCTGGGAAGCAGTTAGGAGACTGGAAATTGCTGGATTTCGTGTCATGGCATTATTTTGCAATGGTCTCTCTTCAAATTGACGTCTGTTCCGTTTACATGAGACAAATGAGTTAGCGTATAAGGTGACCAATATCTGCAGTGATGATGAAAGATACATATATTTCCTGTCTGATCCACCCCATCTAATACAGACAAAAAGAAATGCATGGTCCAGTGACAAGAGAAATTTATGGGTAAAGGAACCATACATGTAGATAGCCAATCATTATTAATTAATTTTACAGTGCAAAGGAAAAAATATTTCGTGGTCTCATTTAATGGAACATCATCAAAAGAATAGATCAGAGACTGGTCTTGTTTTGGCTCCCAAACTGAAGTATGAGCGTATAAATTTGGCATCCTCTCTAAGATGAGAGTGGACCTTGCAGCACAGTGATACATAAAGTTATTGTGAATATAAAATTTCATATCGGTGCTAAGTTCATCAGTATTTAAAGCATTAGAACTGGTTGTCGGAGATGATGCAGAAGAAACAGCTATATTCACTTTATACTTCGACTGATTTATTGATGCTTTAAATGTTTTAAGCTTTGACAAAGGCAAAACAAGGAATCCATTTAAATCACCATATAGATCAAGAGATGATTTTAGACTAAAGCTTAGTAAAAAAAATTTTTCATATTTCTACTGACATATAGTTATAGTGGTGAAAAGAAGACTTTCTAGGGTCTTAAATAAATGGGAGGAAGTGTATTGGAGAGGAAAGGCTATAATATGAAAAAAAGAATCTTATGATGCTAAGCAGAGAGACATTGGAAGGACTGAAGGTTACAGATATACATTTTGCTAAATTTTAACTCAATTAAATTATGCTATATAATATACTAGTAAGTTCATTTGTGGAATTAGTGCAGTACATGTTCACTGTGCCTGATGTTACAGTTCTTTTGACCAATAAACTTTGCCAAGATAAATTGGAAAATTTCTTTGGACAACAGAGACAGAGGGATAGAACTCATGAGAACCCAAATGCCAGAGGCTTTTAAAAGAACTCACAAGCACTAACAGTTATAAATTGTGCACACACTTTCTCAATAAATATGAAAGGGAACTGCCGTAGTGCTAGTCAAGAAAAGATAAAGATTTAGAACCTTTACCAAAGAGGCGATACAAGCACTGAGCCTGCATGCTGCATTATTTGAATATAATCATAGACTTTATGATATAATCAGTAATCAGTAAAACTATTACATATACACGGTGTTCTAAATAATCATTATGCATGATAATAAATGAACCTCACAAGTAACATTTGAATAAATCATACTTCTGATCTATATAGTTCTTTCCTGATTCGCTTCCCTTTCTGTAACTGCTTGTTATGATCCTTTTTATACATCTCCACAAAAGAGATAGAAGAATAGAAACCCCTAACAGTGACGTATTGTTTGACAATTAATTTTTGGAGTTCAGTGGCAATATCATCTTGAATTGAGAGACTAAATAAAGACCAGCAAAACAGCACCTTTTTATTATCAAATATATCATCTTCTATAAATTTGCAGTTAGGAAAACTGGTTTGTTGAGGCTTATAATATTGTCTTATTTCAGTTTCAATTGCTACAAAGAGCTCATAGGTTTCATCAGAAACATGCCTCAAACCACCTCTATCTATTATATTACACCATTTATCTGTTCCTATATCTTCATCTATCTCATCTTCTATAGCATGGCGAAAAAGCAAGAAATCATATCTTCTTTACCTTTCACCTTATCAAGCCTATTTTTAACTTTCCTTATAATATACCCACACACATATTTTAATGCATTTGGCTCCTCTACACTAAACCTTGTACTATGATCCTCCCATAACATACTAACTATATTAACCCTTACTCCCACCCTGGACCTCCCACACATGCATTCACAATAATGAGGTGTGGCAAGTCGGTGCAAGCCAATAAATTTATTTTTCAACGGATCAAAGAACAATAGCTGATAATAAGTTAATAACTAAGGAACGACCAACGGTAGGCTGAGGACCAGGCCAATCTAGCATTATTTAGGGAAGCTGGGTCCCACAGCTTACCCAAGGAAAAAACCACCACTTTATTTTATTTTCTTAGTGGTGGAAAAACCGAGGCCACAACCACCATTGGACAACACAAAAAAACACCTACATACACACAAGCAAATAATGGTAATAATAATAATAATAATAACATTAACACAGAATACACTACAATCAAAATGC